GAGAGAGAGAGAGAGAGAGAGAGAGAGAGAGAGAGAGAGACAGAGAGAGAGACACAGAGAGAGAGACAGAGATATGATAAGCATAGGAATAGTAAGATAAAATCAAAACTCAACCTGAAGGGAAAAGAATAAGAAGCGATAAGTCAAGAAAGAAACTAAGAGACGCCAGGAAGGAGGAGGAGGAGGAGGAGGAGAAAGGAGGTGGTAGAACAAGATAATTACGAGGTGAAACAAGGTAATTACAAGCTAATTACGAGCACTGGAATAAAACAAGAAACGACCGGACAAAAGAACACTGATAGAAACTGAAAAGGCAAACGATTCGAGGGAGAGAAGAGGATTTCACTCAAAGGAAGACGTTGTAGAAGCCACCTCCACCCTCCCCCCCCCAACCTCAACTTCCATATGCAACGGAGAACTCAAACGTCCGAATAATTCCCATTGTATCGCCAGAGGTACAACAATGACTAGTTAAGGAGCCCGATCCTAACTATCCCGTGAGCACTCATGGGCTAGGCAGAGTGAACGTGAGTGCCTATAATCCCCCCACTGAACCATCGTGGGGGTATCGAACGCCGGCCAAGCAAGAAGCGAAGCCGTCACGGTAAATGCAATAATAAAATCAAATAAGAAACTAAAGATGAAATAAAGGAAGAAGGCACAGATAAGTGATCTACATACATATGCTTAAGTAATCACTAGGAAAATTAAACGAAAGTTCCATTTTATTGAAACTTTCAGTATATTTTGTTACTGAATATTTATGTATAACCAAAAAACATGTTTTTTTTTATTATTCTGCATACATGAATATATACACATACATACATACATACATACATACATACATAGGACCAAAGAGCCAGAGCTCAACCCCCGCAAGCACAACTAGGTGAGTACATACATACATACATACATACATACATACATACATACATACATACATACATACATACATATATACATTACATACAAACATACATACATACGCGGGACCAAAGAGCCAGAGTTCAACCCCCGCAAGCACAACTAGGTGAGTACCTTGTGTTCGCTATCTGCTGCCTCCGGGGATCAATGTCCCCCGCAGCCTGGTCTCTCTCTGGCCAGACCAGGTATAATCTGGTCAACCAGGCTGTTAAGACACACAGCAGCTCGCAATCTAGACATACAAGACACAGCCCGAATGATCCGACATATCCTTTGAAGTTGT